GGGGAGGCAGAGGTGGGGAAGAGACTGAAATATTTAATAAATAAATAAATAAAGGAAAAAAAAAACCTCAGACAACAGGGTGGGGGTTAGATGGGGGTGGGAGAAGGGGAAGGAGAGGTACAGAGGCTAGTATGTAAAATTAAAATTATTTTAAATTTTAAAAAAGAAGTGTGAAAAACAAAATCATAAAAATAAAGTAAAATAAAAAACATTGCTTTCGCCATAGTATTCGAATCCACTAAAATTTACAGTTGTCTTCATCACAGTAAAAATCAATGCTTTAGTCTCTGATGTTAAATAATGATCCCTCACAACAGGGAACTTCGCAAAGCTTTGCTTTGGTTTCATGGACTAGAGGGTAAGTAGGTGGAGCGAGCCAGCTTCTTGAAGCTCTAATGACACTGACATGGGAAAGTCTTCATCCACTTCTTTATGAACGTCTTTCCTAATATGTGAACACTGCCAGCCCAGCCCACACCCTGGACACGAGGCCGATGCGTACCCCATCATTTCACTCTCTACAGATGACCAAGACATTTGGGGTAGAAAATGAGAAAAGTTAAATCTGGAGACAATTTGATCCAGATGAAAAGTCATGGCCAGCCAGGTGACGGTGTGGAGGCTCCTTTTGCAACTGGAGGTAAAAACATCATTTTCAGGCAGAATCTTCTTAAAATGCTCATTTTTGAAGCCAATACTGATGATGCTTCTTCATGGATTCTATGTCACTTGGTCTTTATTGATTGCGGTTATCACTATGGGTCCCATGATGAGCAATAAGTATCGACAAGCACTTAGGGACAAGGTTTTTGTTTTCTTTTGCGTGTGTGTGTGTGTGTGTGTGTGTGTATGTGTATGTGTGTGTGTAAGCGTTCATGTCTCTGTGTAGGCTAGCACCCACTGTCAAATGTCTTCATCAATCACTTCCCACCTAGGGGCAAGGTTTTTGTTTTGTTTAAGTGTGGGTGTGAGTGTGCGCACACACTCTCACACACACTCTTGCACGACCATGCACGTCTATGCAGAGGTTAGAGCCCATCGTCAGATGTTCCCATCAATCACTTTCCACCTTTACTGCGGAGACAGACCCTCTCGGCAAAGCCAGGGCTCTCACAGGTTCAGTATGCTGCCTGTCTGGCAATCCCGGGCATCTTCCTCTCTCTGCCTCCCTAGTGATGGGATTGCAGGTGTGTGCCACCCTGCTCTGGTGTTTGAGGGCTGGGGATCCTAAGTCAGGTCTCCATGCTTGTATAGAAAGCATTTCACCAACTGAACCATCTTCCCCAGATCCAGCGTGCTGTCTCTGAAAGGAAATTTCTCATTTCATTCTAACTGGATTGCATCTGCAAGAGGGTTTTGTCTGGTTGCTTCCAGGTTAAAGGACTCTGCTATGCATAGACCAGCACACACAGAGGTGGGAGAGCAGTGGAAGCTGAAGCACAGGATGGAATCCTTCTTTGCTTATGCTAATTACTGATAACATTTAAATGAAAGATCAAAAACAAATGGCCAACTGGTCCAGCTGTCCACACAACCATCTGGAATAAGACTGACCTCAGGAAACTCTGTCACCCTCACGATGAATGACGTTATCAGCGTGGGATTGTGTGTCACCATCTGAAGACTTGTATCAACACTGGCCGCCCTAACATGGGCGGGCAAATTACACAGTACCTCCTGAAACTGTGACCACTCCATTCCCTTTGTCGGCGACTTCCTGGAGTTTTAGTTAGAATGTCTCCGTTGCTGTGTGCTTTTGATAGTATCAGCCCGGGGTTCAGCCACTTGGTATTCATGTTGGCTTGTGTCACCCACTCATCTCTTAAAGAACCAGGCTTTCTCTACTTACCTACCAGTCTCCTTTCCTTGGGTTTTTGGGATCTGGCCACCTAAGTTTCACTTGCCAATCCTGTTTTAAGAGTGTTTGAAAGATGCTTTGCTGACAGCCAAGTTTCATGACCAACAAACACATCAGAGTTCTTCTCTCACCAGCAGGGTCAGAGCTCCCAGTCCCTGTAAAGCTCACCTGTTTGTTTAGTATTCACCCCTCCCCTGCCAGTCCCAGCCCACCCTTCCCCTGCCAGTCCCAGCCCACCCTTCCCCTGTTGGTTCCAGCCCACCCTTCTTGTCATGAAGATGACAGCTTCTGGGGCTTCTAAATCTACATTATTATGGTCATGATCTCTGCAGTCATGTAAAACCATCTAAGGCCAGAAGTGTTTCTAGTTGCTAGCTCTGGTTATAGCTGGAAGCCCATGCCTCATCTCTTTCTTCAGTCTCATGTGAGAAACTCTTTTTGTGGCGAGGACAACAAAGCACACACATCCACTGACCCCAAAAAGGAAACCCAAGACACAAAAGTAATGATTGCACTCAAGTCCAACTTGGTGAGTTTTTATTGGGATGCTAACAGGAACATGGGGGAGAGGTGGCTTACGGGGGAAGAGCGGACTCAAAAGCAACTGCATCACCAAAAAGCCCAGCTGAAGGGGATGACCCACAAAAGCTGCATCCCCTGAACTCTTTGCATGGCTTGCAGGCAGCTCTACAGGTCAGAGAGTCTCCTCTGGGCAGCTGGCCTGCTTCACCCAAACTGTGGACAGTTTCTATGAAGCTGGGGAGGGGTCTTTGAGAATCTTGCAGGTTTCAGCTTTTCCAGACATATGACCTTTGCTTACCTCCTGTGTTGGGGTTGGTTTACCCTTTACCTTTTTGGGGCCCACCACCCAGCTCCCAAATAAATCACACACACGGAGGCTTATTCTTAGTTATGAATGCCCGACCTTATCTTGGCTTGTTTCTAGCCAGTTTTTCTGAAATTATCCCTTTTGCCTTGGGATTTTTCCTTTTCTTACTTCTGTATATCTTACTTCACGACTGACTGGGAGGCTGGCCCCTAGTATCTTCCTCTTCTCCTTTTCTTGCTCCTCTCTTTCTTGCTCCTCCTTCTGTTTATACTCTCTGCCTGCCAGCTCCATTTACCTTTGCTCCCGCCTCGCTCTTTATTAGGACCAATAGACAGGCACGGTAACAGAGCTCACAGAGTTAAACAAAGGCAGCATAAACAAAAGTCACACACCTTAAAAGAATATTCCCCAACAGTCCTGAGCCCAAGGAGAGCCTCCCCTGCCCTGTCCAGCAAATGTTTCAATTTGGAGGAAGGGGCCATCCAATATTTGTTTCTTCAGAGAGTCCCAGAAGCCACTGATCCTATAGTAGATGCTGCACCAATGTCTTTGTGACAAATGACATTACCATGCATGCCAATCAGCTCTCAAACGTCCAAAATTAGAAGTGGTTTTTAAGCCGGGCAGTGGTGGCGCACGCCTTTAATCCCAGCACTTGGGAGGCAGAGGCAGGCGGATCTCTGTGAGTTCGAGACCAGCCTGGTCTACAAGAGCTAGTTCCAGGACAGGCTCCAAAACCACAGAGAAACCCTGTCTCGAAAAATAAAAAAAAAAAAAAAAAAAAAAAGTGGTTTTTATTTCTCCCCAATAAATGCTAAGGTCAAACTACTGGAATATGATTGGCCAGTCTTCCATCAACTACAGCAGAGGTTCTCAATGTGTAGGTCCTGAAAGCATGGATATTTACATGATGGTTTATAACAGTAGCCAAGTTACAGATACGAAGTAGCTATGACCAACTGACTGTATTAAAGGGTTGCCATGTTAGGAAGGCTGAGAACCAACTAAACTGCACTTTCCCTAATCTGTTGAGCAAGATTTTAACCTACGGGCTACTTGGAGCCACCCTGAGCCCTGTGATATGTATGAGCTTACTTCTCTGTGCCTTGGTAGAGGAACTTTGAACAAATAATATCCAATGAGCCAGCCTGTCTGTGTCTGCCACAGGAAGTCTCCAGTAGACGCTAAATATTATTATTCATGCCACTAAGTTGTTGCTGATCTCAGACTCCATTGTTTTAGTTTTCAGTGATGCTGAATTTCTTTTTTTTTTTTTAACAACAAAGATATGTTAAGGTAAGAGGGGGCAGATGAGCCAAATCTAGACTATGAAGGCAACGTTAGCAAAATTCCCGGATGAGAGCCAATAGAGCAGTCGGCTGCACCAGCATTTTATCCCCATTAAGAGGCCTGCTAATCTACAAAGTGATCCTGCAGGCAGCTCAGAAAGTGGCTGTAGGTCAGGGCTCAGCAGTAAAGGTTACTTGGTGATGGGGGCACTCACCCCACCCCACCCCATGCCTGGACTCAAAAGTTAGGAAAGCAGAGTAAAGAACAAACGAATCTGAAAAGCAGAGGGGACAGTTTTTTAACTCGTCTAAAATGAGAAATTTAATCATCCCGTTTCCCGGCATGCTGTTTCCCCGAGACAGAAGGGATTGTCTAAGCATCGTGATGCCTCAAACCCAGTACCAAAGATGTGGTGTTTTCACACACACACACACACACACACACACACACACACACACACACACACAGTAAGAAAAATGTGCAAGAAGCATACTTAGCCTTCCACACACAGGCCCAGAGTGCTGGGAAGCAAAGATTATTAGAACAAAGAATACCTTCGGGTCATCTCGTTCATTTCCTTCTTTACAGCTGAGGAAACTGAGTCCCAGATTTACTTCTATTACTTCTAGTCCCCTTTCCCGTTCTAAGCACCAGCGATGTTTTCATTAGAGCAGTGGTTCTCAGCTTTCCAAATTCAGTTCCTCATGCTGTGGCACCCCCAACCATAAAACCATTTCTGTTGTTGCTTCATAGCTGTATTCTGTTACTGTTATGAACGGCACATGTAAATATCAGTGTTTTCCAATGGTCTTAGGTGACCCCTATGGAAGGGTGGTGACCCACAAGTTGAGAACCGCTGCACTTGACCAAAGGTACATTCTTGGATAAACCCTATTTAATCCATAGAGGACAGAAAGCCTCTGCAAACTCTGGGAAAGAGAAGATGCAACACTACAGCGGGACGCGGTGGCGCACACCTTTAATCCCAGCACTCGGGAGTCAGAGGCAGGCGATCTCTGTGAGTTCAAGGCCAGACTGATCTACAGAGCTAGTTCCAGAACAAACAGAGCTACAGAGAGAGACCCTGTCTGTCTAAAAAAAAATACATAACTACAAATTGATACATGGAACAGGATGGAGAAAACTGTCCTTCCCAATATGGCTGATGCAAAAGCAATAGTTTCTAGAATGTTCAGATGTAGACCGAGCAGTGTCTCCCAGACCTTCTCTTGAGCTCCTCACCAGACATGTTTTCACTGCCGACACTCTCTGCCCAGACTAACAGCTAAGAACAGGTGACCTAAAACATTTCATGTCTTTCTTAAAGCCGTGGCCATTTTAAATCATCTATTTTTCTCATAGGGGGCTTAGATTACTGACGGGCAAGTATTTCAAATTATTTAAATTCTCTTATAGCATGTGGATTAAGAGCGTGATCCACAGAGCCAGGTATTCCAAGCTTAAATTCCTAATTCCATAACTGATTAGTCATGTCTCCTGAGCACAGTACCAAGAGATATACACCCACGTCTCTGCATGTGCAAAAGATAAGAACCGTGGCTCCACTTGCAGTCCTCGGCACAGTGAGTTCCTGCACACCCGGCCCACAGAGTGTTTTCTGTCCAATGACCATGTAATCAAATCTCACCACGATTCAGAAGTCACAGAGCATGCTCACTCAGGTCTCACAGCAGTCCCCGTGAGAGTCTCTGTCCTCCGCACCTAAGTGAGAGGTCACAGCTAGACATCTTCCTCCAGGTGTCAACCTCAGGAGCAGGTCAGACATTTCTGCAGCACAGCCAGTCTCCTACACCTCAGGAAGTCTTTCTGCACTCCCGGAGTCCCAAGCTGCTTGGGAAAATGAGACAAACATGAACACAAGAGCCCAAGAACAAAAGGGCCCAAGAAAAGCAGCAGAGGCTGGTGTGCTCTGCGGGGATATGCTTTTTGTTGTTGTTTTATTTTGTTTTGCTTTGGGTTTTTTTTTTTTTAAGCTTTGGAGCCTGTCCTGGAACTAGCTCTTGCAGACCAAGCTGGTCTTGACCTCACAGAGATCCACCTGCCTCTGCCACCCAAGTGCTGGGATTAAAGACGTGTGCCACCACCGCCCAGCTTCTGAGTGGATGTGTTAATGGGGCAAGTGTCAGTTTGGGGATGTGCGTGGCACCCAGGAAGCCATTGGTGCTTATGTGAAGATAGGAGAGACTTACACCCTCCCACCCCTACACTCAGTGTTACAGTCAAGAGTGCCCTGAGGTCCCACGGACCTTTGGAGGCCTCTATGAATTCTGGGAATCCTCCTGACTTTCAGTTATTACACGGATCATCCTGTCACCCTGCCTGGCTCTTCCTGCCATGAAGGCTGAGTATTCCCTAAACTCATTCCTTCTATAATTTTTAATGCCAGTTCATTCAGCACAGTCTGTGCAGCAACGTGTGACTGAGTTAGGAGGCAGAGAGAGGTGAAACATGCTGAGTAAGTTTCCCCAGGACTCCTTTCTATTAGTTGAGTCTGGGTGGGCAAGGGCTTTGGATTGATTCTATTTTTGTTGTTTTTGTTGCTGCTGCTGCTGCTGCTGCTGCTGCTGCTGCTGCTGCTGCTGCTGCTGCTTGGTTTTTGAGACAGGTCTTGCTGTGTATCCCAGACCATTCCAAAACTCACAACCCTCCTGCTTCCCACTCCAGAGCGCTAGATTACAGATGCTTGGTCTCTAGCTAGTGAACTCTGGGGAATGATTGCCTTGGCCTTAAGGGAGTAGGTACAGCTTTTGGATAAAATGTGTTGCTGGGGTATAGATGAGATGTAAGCTCTCAGCTATTGCTCCAGCTCCATGCCTGCCAGCCCGCTGTCACGCTTCCCGCCATGATGATTATGGACTCACCTTTTGAAACTGTGAAACAGTTAAGAAGACCCCAGTTAGATGTTCTTTCTCTTATGGTCTGCCTTGGTCATGATGTCTCTTCACAGCAACGGAACAGTAACTAAGACACCCATGTCTCCGTGCAGGCTTTAAAGTTCACAAGGAAATGAAACATTTTCTTTCCGTTGTCCCTTGGAGAAATGAGAATGGTCTCCAAAACTAGCATGTAGCGTTAACCCACTGAGGAAGGCACCATCACTGTCTCCATGAGCAGCAGCTGCCAGAAACTCTGCCCTTGCTCTGCCTTGACCACTAGCGCTGAGACTTGTCAAAAGATAACACAATCAGGATAGACTAGAGGAGCTGAGAGTCCAGGAGGGAGGGTGGTGTCCCCAGAGGCTATAGACAGGGAGAGTGGTGTCCCCACAGGCTACAGACAGGGAGGGTAGTGTCCCCAGAGGCTGTAGACAGAGAGGCTGGTGTCCCCAGAGGCTATAGAGGTGACAGAGATCTGTCACACTAAGCCTTAGTTTGTGTCCTTAGAAGGGACATCTTTTGTGACACAAGAAGAAGGGGTATGATATTTCAGATGAACAAGTCTGAAGACAGTATAAGGAAGAAGCCAAGGGATTCTTCTGTGATTATTACTTAGCATACACGTGTAAGTCTGTGACCACAGAAAGAGAATACTAACATGCAGCCATTGGAGCTGGTTCGGCTAGATCAAGTTAAACACATAGTTACATTGTTTATTCGTTACTTGGTATTCTTCTCATTGATTCTTTCTTCCTACTAATTGTTGTGGTATAATTTAGGAAGAGTCTTAATTCTTTTGTTTTGTTTTATTTTTTTAATGTTTTATCAAGATAGAGTTTCTCTGTGTAGCCCTGACCTGGAAAAAAAGCCTGCAAAAAGAGTCAGAGACAGCCCATGCTCCCACTGTTAGGAGCCCCACAAGAAGACCGTGCGACACACCTGTGAAATATAAACCAAGGGCCAAGGTCAGCCGCTTGCAGACTCCCTGGTTGTTGGTTCGGTCTCTGTGAGCCCCTATGAAACCAGGTTAGTTGATCCTGTGGGTTTCTTTTGGTGTCCTGACCCCTCTGGCTCCTCCAATCCTTCTTTTCCCTTTTCTTCAGGATGCAAGGGGCTCAATGTGACCATCAGTTGCCGGATGAAGCCTCCCTGATGACAACTGTGCTAGGCGCCAACCTGGGTGTACAGCAGAATATCATTAGGCCTCATTACTTTGACATGTAATTCTCAAACCCAGGTCAAAAGGTGAGCGCCCCCCACCCCCAGCACTTCACAGGAAGTCAGAGGGAGGGGAAAGCTGTTGGGTTTGTGAAAATGGAGGAGTGCCAGGTTTCAGACTTCCAAAGTCAGTTCTAATGATGTCACCACCAAATCAAGCGACCTTCCCCGAGCCCCACAAACATGGTGGGTCAAGGTCTTGGTCTCAGGATTCTCCCTCTGTCCTGGAAACAGAGGCAGGCAGTGGGTATTTCTGTCTGAAGGCTTCCTCACAACCCTCTCTGGTGCCTCCAAACTGTCCTGCTCCGGAGCCACCCCTGTAAGGAGCCAGTGAGCTAAAGAAAGGAGCCGACAGGGCTACAAGGCTGGTCCCTTGAGGGTCGGGGTGTTATGGACAGAAGATGAGATACCCCAGGCTCCGACTCCTGCAAATACACAGTACCCTTCCATCCAAGGGACGGGAAGAAAGCACATTCTGTGGATACCGGCCTTCCTATTGGAAGAAGCAAGCCAGACCTCAATGACCCGACATTCTGTGCATTTCCTTACAGAGACCCAATCCAATCTCCTTCAGCCAACCATTCCCCACCTCCGTTTTCCCAGGCCTGGCCCTGTTAGGGTCCATGAGAAGTCCCCATGAAAGACTGCCAGTCACACAGGCAATAAGCGAGAGCGCTTTTTTATGATTCCAACAAAATGGGACAGCGCAGGGCGATGACCATGACGAGAGAAGCCCTAAGATTCCTTTTAAGCAAGATTAGGGGAATCCTGTTGCAAGGAGAGGCCAGGCCACTTGTTCATCCTGGAAGCCTGGCTAGCTTAGCCCTGAAATAACCACACAGAAATTGTATTAATTAAAACACTGATTGGCCCATTAGCTCTAACTTCTTATTGGATAACTCTTATATTAATTTAACCCATTTCTATTAATCTGTGTATTGACACATGGCTGTGGTTTACCGGATAAAATTCTAACCAGTGTCTGTCTCAGGCGGAGGATCTATGGCTTCTCTCTGACTCTGCTTTCTTCCTCCCAGAATTCAGTTCTGTCTTCTCTGCCTACCTAAGTTCTGCCCTATCAGGCCAAGGCAGTTTCTTATTATTAACTAATACAAGCAACACATAGAAAGAAGGACCTCCTCCTACACCAGAATCCCAGGGAGGGGAGGCTAGTCTGGGAGCTGATTGGTGGGTTAAAGTTTATAGGTTGCTATAGGATTGGTTGGTGGCTTAGTGGTTAGGGGCTTTTCAGCTGCAGCATGGGAGAAGCTACCTTTAGTTCCCATAAGCTTGCACAAAGCCCTGGGGCGCCCTCTGACTGGTTGCCCCTGGGTTGCATCTTTCCCAAGATCGGCTTGCTCTGCTCCAGCTGGTTCCAGTAAACTGAAACTAAGGCCTGGTCCCTGAGAGGGGCTATTAGAAGCCTGTCATGGCTCTGGTCTGGCTCCCTGGCCCTCTCAGGCCCCAGCCCTCAGTTCACTGAAGAGATCCAACAGACCCCAGTTTCATCCTCTGGCTGAGTCACCTGGATTCTTTAGCTATTTATAGGTTAATTAATTAAAAATTATAAATCTCTCCTCGTGTTGCGATTCTCAGCAGTGGCTCATATCTACTCTCCATCCGGAACTGCCATCCTGGGGCTTTGGAAGACAAGCTTAGGAAGAGAGTGCTAGGAAACTGGCCTCTGCCTTTGTCCCTCTAGGAGTCTCGATTGCTTCTACAGAGAAAAAGATGTATTAAAATGATACGGCAGCACACTTGACTCGGCCCCCACAAGGGCCAGCCAGACATCCTTGCCGACAAGGCGTGGGAAGAGAATGATGCTTCTGCACAGAGACGCTGACCCCAGGGCAGTAAAACCAGTGAGCATCTTTCTGGGAATTACCAAGGTCACTGACACCCACGAATAACACTCAGCTGCCTCCTACTCTCTTCCAAAACTAATCTAGTTTTTCTTAAGCTTTGATGAAAAAGTTGTCTTCCTGGCAGCTGGGTGTGATGGATGAGCAAGCCTCCTCCTTGATCCCTGCAGGAGAATGGTGCTCTTTCCCCAGCTGAAAGAAGGTCTGTAGCTTGGACAACCCCTTGTCCTGCGTCCTCCTCTCCCTGGGTTCTCAAAGCTCCATGGCTAGTAGCCCCAACTAGAGGGTTGTTCTCCCAGCTGTTGCAGGGGCCTTGTGGTGGTCTGAACAGGAATGGTCCCACAGGCTCATAGATTTGAATGCTTGGTCATTAGGGTGTAGTGCTGCCTGACAGGGATGAGGAGTGTGGCCTTGTTGGAGTAGGTTTCTATGTGTGTGTGACTGTGTATGTGTCTGTATGTGTGACTGTGTATGTGTCTGTGAGGGTGTGTGTATGTGTCTGTGAGGGTGTTTGTATGTGTCTGTGTATGTGTCTGTGAGGGTGTATGTGCATGTGAGATGTATGTGTGTGAGTGTATGCCCGTGAATGTGTGTGTGCATATGTGTGTGTATGTGTGTGTTAGAGTGTATGTGTGTGTGATGGTGTATTGCGTGTGAGAGTGTATGTGTATATGTGTGTGTGTGCATATGTAAGTATGTGTATGGGGGGCATATCAGGTGACTTCATCAATTACTCTTTACTGTGTCTATGAGACACAGTCTCTCAGGGAACCTGAAGTTCACTGACTCAGCCATTGCTGGCCACCAAGTCTGAGATCTTCTCTGCAGGTGTAGAATTACAGGGCTTCCTTGGTATGCCCAGTTTCTTTACATGGAAGCTAAGATCCAAACTCAGTTCCCCATGCTCACCTGACCCATATCCCAACACCCCAACATGTAGTAAATAAAAAGAGAAAATAGTGGCCTGTCAGTGGAGAGATGCCGTTTAAACACCTGACCAGATCCCACTTAATAAAACATGTCAACAGCTCCTGCCTCTTGGGTTGATGGATAGAGAAGGTCACAATATCTTGGTGGTATCTTGTCAGAAACTCATAGCTAACCACCAGGCAGAATCCAAAAGCCTAAACTGAGGGGTATTTCTCAAAATAATTGACCAGACATTTTAAAACTGCCAAAGCCATGGGATGCAAAGCAAGGCTGAGATATTCACCAATATTGTCAAAAGCTGGGAATGTGGTAGCTGGAAGAAAACTGGGATTTGGGATTGAACGCTGGCCTAGTTAAAGAACCTTAATTGGAGAAAGAAATTTTACTATAAATAATATTATATCAATATTAAATTTCCCAGTTTCTATAACTATTCTATAGATATATTAAATAGTCAATATTAGGGAATGACAATAAAGAATTCATGTGAAATAGGTGCTAATTTTAAAAAGTCTTTTCTGAAAGAGTGCTTTAAAATAAAAAGTAAGAAAAATGTTGAAGGTGGGTAGTGGGGGTACATGGCTTTAGTCCCAGAACTCAGAAGGCAAAGTCAAGCAGATCTCTGTGAGTTTGCGGCCAGCCTGGTCTACAGAGTGAGTTCCAGGACAGGCAAGGCTTACACAAAGAAACCGTGTCTCAAAAAGAAAAGAAGAGGAGAAGAGAAGAAGGAGAGAGAGGAAGAGGAGAAATGTTGAATATAATTTGGGTTCTTAGTTAAGGTGGTTGTTAACTATTATGAGACTGACTACTGCCTAAGACATACATTAAACCATTACAGCAAGGGCCCAAGGGTACAGTGGCCAAAGAATAAACTTTTCCCCCCATGCATGATGCCCTGAGTCAGATTGCCAGGGCAACTATCTCTCTCTCTCTCTCTCTCTCTCTCTCTCTCTCTCTCTCTCTCTCTCTCTCTCTCTCTCTCACACACACACACACACACACACACACACACACACACACGCATGCACGCAAATAAATAAAAGTAATTAATTTTTTTGACATTTATTCCTGCAAACTGCCCTAATTATATACCCAATCTGGGAGATTTTTTTTTTTGGTTTGGTTTGGTTTTGGTTTTTGGGACAGAGTTTCTCTGTGTAGCTTCAGAACCTGTCCTGGACCTAGCACTTGTAGACCAGGCTGGCCTCAAACTCACAGAGATCCACCTGCCTCTGCCTCCCGAGTGCTGGGATTAAAGGCGTGTGCCACCGCCGCCGGCTTCTGGGAGGAATTTTTATGAAAATTTTTGGAATTGGTGACTGCCAAACCCTGTGTGGTGTGGTCCTTAATCAAAGCTCAGATGTGACAGAAGCCTGTGGTTCTGGAATCAGGAG